TTATAAACTTATCCAAGTGGAAGACTGTTGGGTTAAGGTGTCTAAGCTGATAACAAAAATGGTATAAACTTGCAAATAGAAGCAAAGTCCCTTTTAGGTTGCCCTCATAACTAGAAATAGCTAGAAATGATATTTGGATATATATATATATATATATATATATATATATATATATATATATATACACCTTAATAAGCATTTAGCTTTAAATGCTGAATTTTAAGAGGTACAACCCTTAAAGAATCATTTACAACAAGTTTATGCATCGCAAAATCTTATCCGCTGTTGACCATTGAAAAATTCAAGATAGTTAGCTTAAATTAAGGAGGCAGTTGTTACAAATCAATCCTCTGTCACATAGACATTCAAATTTTTGAAAACAACTTGCTCTTTATCTTGATTTCCCCTGTATCTCGACATTCTCCATATTTGGGCAATGAATTGGTCAAAGGTAAATACAGTTTAACATCTCATTTCCTATCATGTTCAACAACCTTCCCACTATGTCACCTGTTATTCGCCATTTATATAACTATCCCCTTCTCTCAACCATCTCTCCTTCTCTCTAACCCTAATTAGCCGCCAGGCCACTCACCATCATCAAACCACTCCCTTCCAGCTCCACGAACTCACATGATTCCATGACTAAACAGTTCGCACCACTCAAGACCATCGCAACATCACTATTAGACCCACCTGAAACGTAACCTTCATCTCTCTTTGGCATTCACCATAACGATACGACCTTACAAGGCTGAAAACAGTGCTACCATCGCCAACACGAACTTCAATGTTTTTGGTTTTCTATGTGTATCTTGACACATTTTATGTACCGGTGTTTTGCAGGAACATAAACATACGTGATCTTGTTTTTGATTTACCAAAGGTTGTGTACATATATGGTATGTTAAGAAAAATAGGAACGATTTTGCTATTTAATTTTGGGTTTTTTCAATTTTGGATATCTCCAATGAGAACTTGAATACTTTTGGGGTTTTATTTACATCTTCACAGATTTTATGTGACTGTGTTTCTAGGAACATGAGCATATCGGAGGCTGTTTTTGTTGATTGATCTATATGTTCATATTTCAGCAAGCAATGATTTTTTGGTTTGAATGGGTGGGAGTGGAAATAATTTTCGTTTCCAAACCTTGGGTATGTTCCAGATTTATATTTTTTATTCATGGTTTTTATCCATTCGGGTGTATTTCAGATTTCAAATAGAGGAATTGTTTATTTTTATTCCACCATAGGATCATTCACCACTCACCATGTTCCTTCCTGGAAAAAAGAGCAACATCTACAAGGTTCAAAATCTAAATAAAATGAAATACTTGAATACCATATTCTGGTTTTCCATCAATTCTTACTCCTCCCCCTATTCATCTATTTATTCAAAATATGTTCTCCTATATAACTTTTGTATATCATGATTGGATAATGTCATGATATTTGACTTTAATGGCATCCTTTTTGATCTTCAAGTACAACCCAACAAGAGAAGGTGGTTGAACTGGTTGTTTGCAATCTATCCAGAGAATGTTATGGTGAAACACTGAAATTGATGGAGGTAATGAATGAAAATACCTAGGAAGATATGTCATTTTGTCATAATTTTTTCATATGGTCTTTACTTCTGGTCTTTAGTGCTTTAGTTTTCCTACGGTTATAAGTTTTTAATATGGTTCTTGAGGGTTGATACAGGTATTGAGTGAAATCACCTATGAACTAAAGATGTGTTTTAAAGTAATAACAGGCTTGAGTTCTATCTGTTATTCTTTTACCGATTTTCATTCTTTTTTGCTTCTCATGGTTCAACTAAATGGGCTTTATTTTTTTAAGCCTTTTTATGGTGATCCTGCATAATCCTGATAAAGTCTCGATTTTGTAAGCTAATTAATTTGTTTTTATTACATTAGGTACTTTTAGGACCAATTTTGGAGCATCGTATAGTCATTAAAGGTACTTTTAGTAGATAAATAAATATATAAAAGATTGGTCCATGAAAAGGTACTTTGATGTGATGTAATATTTTATTAACTAATTCATATTTTTTTAGTGTTGAAATAATTGGAGACCTATTGCTTGCAGGTGGCCTCTCCACGGAAAAGAAAAAGGGTGTCTCCGGTTTCCACGTAGGTAATGCTTACCCTATTAAATTGCTTCAAGCCTCCAAGTAACACCTTATAACCTTATTACCCTATTAGACTATTAAAAATGATCTAGTTAAGTGGTAACACCTTATCCCCTATTTTTCATTATTGCTACAACCATGCACCTGCTCCTTTATAGGAATTGCTTTTCATTTTTGCCACAACCAATGGAGCTCACTAAAACTTGAACGAGTAAGTATTAGATTATTTGTCGGCCTTCAAATTAGTGGAATTTTTAAAATTTATGAAATTAAATAATAACTTATTTTAAATTCTAGGAAAAACTTTTCAAATCATATTGGATTTAAGCACTATAGCTTTAACATGTTGGTGATTTAAAATATATTGATGTGATTACAACCATAACAATGTGGAAACCAGTTAAAAGATAGCAGGTTAGATATTGCTATATTTAGGTAGGTTATTCAAAGTACAATGCTAATTTGTGATGTTTTTAGGCTTTTCATTGTCTTAAAAATGCCCCAACTTTTTGAAACCATGCAAGGGTCTACCATCCACATCAGCAATGAATACAAGAGTGTGTTGGTCTTTTTGTAGGAGTTATACCAGCGTTAAGAAAAAATTAATATAAATATATGAAACCAAGTAAAGGTCTACCTACTATCCTGTGTAGTAACAAAATAGGTAATGTAGATGCATAAGTAGGAAATGAGTTGTGTCCTTTTGAGAATGATTTTACTAGGTTAGATTCACAAGATGTTTGTCTTTGTATGTTATTTATGAAGCTCCGTACCCAATGTTTATTATTCACTATAAGAAATCTTGCTATAATTAAAGTGCTACTTTTTTTCCCTATTAAGTTTAGTGACTGGAAGTTAGGGATTCTTTTTTTTTTTTAAGTAATGGTAGTGTTTTCTAATTTACTTGTTTCTATTAGGATAAAATGAAGAGTACAACAAGTACTTACTTAGGTTAGTGCACAAATGTCTTTGTTTATTGTTTTGTTATTTATGATGAGCAACAAGTTTTATTGCTTAATTATATTGAATATGTAAATTTTATATTTTTGTAAAAAGATTTGTCAGGTCTTTAAAAATGAAGGAAGAAAGAATCAATAAATATATTTTTACAATGTACAAGATGTAGGGGTAATTCTGGTATTTCTCCCATGTTGAGACGAAATGTCAAAGTTTCTCAACAATCTCAAGGGGAACAATTTTCTTATAATTCCATTACTATTTATGGTTCAATACCTAATATTATTCAACATGAAATCTATTACTGTCCCCTTATGGCATGATGTATGCTTTTGACCTTTTCTACTATTATTTTATATTCAAACATTCAGGATTTGTTTTTTCTTTTTTGCAGGAAAGTGATTTTAACCACTAAATATTGCTAAAAGTAGGATACTAATAGATGATGTGGCTCGTGTAAACGAGTGCGGATAGGCAAATGAGAGAAGCTATGATGCTTAAATAAGCTCGCATGTCTGTTACCGTATGTTTAGTTGGTACTTTTGTTGATTTTGCTTTGCACCAGAACAAAAATGGAGTATCATAATATTGTTTCTTTCCATCTGGTTATTTAATGAATCTACAATTTTGGATTCACGTTGATATTTTGTTTTGTAATATGTAGATGTCATCGCTCATCATTAAAAGTTACAGTACAAAGGCGACATTCCCAAGCGTGACTATTCTTATTATAAAAACAATTAAAAGGAAAGGAAACGATAGAAACAAATATTTATCATTTAGTGCATATTCCCAAAATTCTATATGTTCGTTCACAAAACTCAAATTAAATTAAGGATAATATTTTTTGTAGATTATATCCAAATGGCTAGCAATAAGATTTTATTAATTAAAAATCATCAAATTATAATGTTAAACAAAACAATGATATACTTTATTTTTTACCAAACTTAAAAACATACTTTTATTTTTAACGTAAAGTATTTATTACACCAATCTAAACTCTAAACCATAACCAAAGTATATAAATACTCCTTAAAATAAAAATAAGATAATTATATTTATTCATTTGGAATTGTTAACATGTGGTAAACCCAATACTAATGCCTTTATATTTGTTCTTTTTTAATTTTAGACAAAACTTCAAAAATGGTCTCTATGGTTTTCAAAAATATCAAGTTTAGTCCCTAAGTTCAAAAAACCTCACTGATGGTCCATGTGGTTTTAAAACTTTTAACAAATGGTCCTTTTCGCTAACTCCGTTAGCTTTTGACCGTTAAGTGAAGGGCATTTCTATCTTTTCACTATTATAGGGACCATTTTTGAAGTTTTGCCCCTATTTAAAAAAAAGAAAAAAATTATTATTTAATATAGAAAAGGTCTATCTCTCTCTCTCTCTCTCTCTCTCTCTCTCTCTCTCCATTCGCATCTTCACTTGCTTCCTCGAACAATCAAAATCCAATTCATAAAATCTTTCATATTAATCCCATTTATTCCATCGACTTCTCAATCATGACCATGGTGATAACTTAATACGCCATAAGATCAAGCTTTCGATCGTCAAACTTCATGGGTGTGAAGGGAAACAAACAGACGATCTTGAGCAATGATCAGAGGAACACCATAGATAAGAAATCAAACCCTAAACTAACTTTACTACCTCTAATCGCCCTAATTTTGGGGGTCCATTTGGTGTAGAAGATTCAGTCAAATCTGGAGGTGGAGCTCTACTTTCATTACTAGGGTTCTTAATTTTCCCCATTTTCTAGAGCATCCTAGAAGCACTAATCACAGCCGAACTCGCCACAAGCTTCCCTGAAAACGGCGGTTAGGTCATCTGGATATCATCGGCGTTCGACCTTTTTTGGGGTTTCCAAGAAGGGTTTTAGAAATGGTTTAGTGGGGTTATGGATAACTCACTTTACCCTGTATTATTTCCCGATTACTTGAAGCAATCACTCCCAATCTTCGATCAATTATACGCTATAATTCCAACCCTTTTATCAATTACTATCTTATTAACTCATCTGAACTATAGAGGTCTTCACATTGTCGGATTTTCTGCTGTTCTTATTGCTTCTTTCTCACTCCTTCCATTTGCAGTCATGGGTATTCTTTCAATCCCCAAAATCGGGCCTAAAATATGGATAACTTTGGATTTCAAGAAAGTTCAATGGAGGGGTTACTTCAATAGCATGTTTTGGAACTTGAATTATTGGGATAAAGCAAGTACATTAGCTGGTAAAGTTGAAAATCCAAGTGGGACGTTTCCGAAAGCTTGATCTCAAGGCCCCAGGGACCGAAGGATGAGATTATCTCTTGATGTAGCAAAGAGGTTCTTCAGGTTGCAAGATATGCTTGGGTTCGATAAGGCCAGCAATATTGTCGACTGGCTGCTCATGAAATCAAAACCCGTTATTCAAGATCTACTTCCCCAACAGTTAGACCGCACTTGCAGTCTCATTGGTCTGTCAAACAGCAGTTCTTCTGCATCAGAATGTGAAGTTATGTCTGGAATTGATGATCAATCTATGGAGAAAATTAGGGAAGATACGGTGATTATAGTAGGTAATGCAAAATCTACTTCATCTAGTAGTAACAAAGAGAAGAAAAAACTTGATAGAGGAGTTAGGACAAGTGCGTATATCCATCACTCTCTTGCTAAAGAAACTAGGGAACAAGCAAGAGCAAGGGCAAGGAAGAGGACAACTGAAAAGAGATATAACAAGATTGGTGGGGGTGATGTTGGTGGTTCTGGCTCTGATCAGTATTCTAAATTAGACCACATTTCGATCAGGTGATGAATCAAATTGTAAATTGATTAGGGTCTAGGATTCCCTTTGGCCGGAGAGAGAGAGAGAGAGAGAGAGAAAGAGAGAGAGACCTTTTCTATATTAAATAATATTTTTTTCTTTTTTTTAAATAAGGGCAAAACTTCAAAAATGGTCCCTGTAATAGTCAAAAGACAGAAATGCCCTTCACTTAACGGTCAAAAGCTAACGGAGTTAGCGAAAAGGACCATTTGTTAAAAGTTTTGAAACCACATGGACCATATGTGAGGTTTTTTGAACTTAGGGACTAAACTTGATATTTTCGGAAACCATAGGGACCATTTTTGAAGTTTTGTGTTAATTTTAATACAAAATGACACTTTCTTTTTTCTTTTTAACCAAAAACAAAAATACTTTTTTATTTTTAACCCAAAAGTACAACATATTTTCATTTTAATTCGGTGGATGGGTCGGTGAAGGAGTTAAAGAAACGGTGTACGGGAGCTTTATTCGCATTCTCGATGATATAGTGATTTCCTTCACGGATAAAACAAGGTCATTGAATGTTTTGATTCATGCAATCTTTTCATCATTTGAAATTAAATAAACCCAAATCAAATTATATTATTTTGTGGGTAATATTATCCACATGAAATGAGAGTGTCGATGAGATTAATGGTTATTTAATCGACCGATTCCATGGATAAAAGAGAATTTACTATAGTTTTGATGAAGACATATAGGATATAAATCATATAGGATATAGATAACTTCTATCATGTAAAATTCTTAAACACATAGTGTTAGTGGTTTTACCCCTCATTAGCTACGATTGAAAGTTTGATACCTTATAATATTGTTACAAAATCTCGACCCATCGAACGGATTGTGTAACAACACCCAATTGATATTTAAATGTTTTCGACACAATGTCATTGATGCCAAAATAGTTGTTGGTCAACATGCTGGAAAGATAGTATTTTTGCCAAGGATTCCTCTGTGTCCATCTAAAGATGACATGTTCCTATCCAATCTGAAGAGAAAATAATTTCCAATTTGATTATCTTTTGGGATGACAATCAATAAAGCTCAGGGATAAACAATTCCAAATGTACGTATTTATCTTCAAAAATCAGTTTTCTCGCATAACCAACTTTATGTGATATTATCCATAGGAATATCACGTGTCAAAACAAAAGTATTAGTGAACCCTAGCAAAAAATTCAACGTCAGTTAAGTCTATACAGTGTTCATGTACATTTGTAAATAATCCAAACTTTTCATTTTTTAATTCTTACTTATTTCATTTCTGCTATCATGACTCTTTGTAGCACCTGGTTCCTGGTATGTATTTTATTCTAGTATCTTGCATTTTTGGCCTTGGACTCAGCGAGTTGAGGTCCAACTTGTCGAGTTGGAGCGTATTGGACATAGAAGTTTAATGACCTACTCGACGAGTCCGTGTCCGGAGTCGGTGAGTAGGCGTTGTCCGGACAAAACCCTAGATGAGGGTTTGCACCCTATTTAAACCACTTATTCAGCCTCCCTTTCGTCCCTAACGCTTCCAGAACTCCCCATAGCAAACCCTAGCTGTTTTTGAGAAGAACTAAGGCATTTTAGTGGATCTTGCTCGTTGTGACCATAAGGAGGGAGGGAAAGGCTTGAGGAAACAAGTGAATACCAAGGGAACCCGAGTTTGTGCATCTTCCACAGTTCATTGGAGGTATAAAGTTGTAACCTTGCTCTTTTATTTGTTAGATCCCTTTTGGGGGATATTTAGGGCTTTTATAAGCCATTGTTGGTGACCAACCATGATTGCAAGCATCGTTGTGGGTTGAGGCTTTAGAATCAAGTCATTAAGGGAGTCACAAGGCAGTTAGGGGTTGCTTTTGCACCCATATAAGGTCCCATGCATCATAAGAGCTTATTTTATGTCCTTTTGAGCTCAAAGTCCCATGCATGCACGTAAAGTTTGTAACTTTACATGCTAGAACGATTGAAGGAGCTTAGATCTACCTTATGGTCAAGAGTTGTACGCTGGAAATCGAGAAATGAGACTTGGACATGCCCGACTCAACGAATCGTTCTTGGGACTCGGCGAGTCCGAGGCAAAACTCCCCTTTTCTATTAAGGTTTGAAGGAACCCAGTTGAGCACTAGAAGGGTTTTTAGAGGGTCCAAGGGAGTGACCCAACGTATTGGACTTAGCCTTAGATCTGGAGTTCATAGGACTCGACGAGTGCAAGAATGGACTCGGCGAGTCCAAGGCAATCTCCTTACAGTTGAAGATGAACTCGACGAGTTGTTCATATAACTCGGCGAGTCAAGGACATGACTTGTTTATCAGATGAAGGTGAACTCGACGAGTTGTTCATCCGAATCGACAAGTCGGATGAAGATTCATTCAATGTTCATAAAGAAGGGGGAACTCGTCGAGTCATTGCTGAACTCGACGAGTAGAGTCGTGGATAAGGATGGGTAAAGAGTTAAGGACTCGACGAGTTAGCGGCCCAACTCGACGAGTCGGGTCAACTCGAAGTTGACTTTGACTTGGACTTGGTTAGGGGTAAAATAGTTATTTTACCCTAAAAGTAGATATCATATTCTAACTGAGTGTTTTGTGGGATTATAGTCGGAGAGTTACCGGAGTAGCAGTCAGTCAGTTGCCAAGCAGTTTTTCAGCGGTCAACCTTTCGAGGTGAGTTACCTTCCAGTAGTGGTGGGTCTACGGCCACAATGCTGACCCACTAGTAGGAGTTGGATGTTAGATGATTGTCTTTGTGATATTCATCTAGGTTTGCTGCTACCTGTTATGTTATGCTTATATGATATGTGTTTATGTGGTAGTAGTAGTAGGGGTGAAATAGTCCCCGATTGTCGGGTGAAATAGACTGACAGGTACGTCAAGCACCCCAGAATGGCTTGACCTGGGTAAGTCAGACACCCCAGAATTGTCTAACAGTATATTATGTTATGCTATGTGATTATTGTTGGAATAGTGTCTAAGGCTGCAACTATATTTGGTAAATACTTGACCCGATTGAACATGGTCCTTTTGGGTTGCCTTCACCATAGCAACTTGATAGGATGATTTATAATGAGAGTTGAAATATTATATGGAATAATAATATTATTTGATTAATATAAGTCATAAATTAATTAGGAATTAATTTGGTGACTTAAAGAGATTAATTAAATAGAAGGGCTTAAACTATCAAATGTGTGATAGTTATACTTTAGGCTATAATTCCTTATGGATAATATGGTGGACGATTTTATGGCTTAGGATAGACCTAAAATCGTCCAAGGGTTATCATGAAGGGATTAGGATTGCTTAGGGCTTACGTTATCTAATTAGGGTTTAAAGGTAAAACCCTGGGAGCCTTACAAGTATAAATAGACCCTAGGGGTCATGGAAATCGACACCCTTGTGTCTAAGGAAACCCTGGCCGATTTCTAAGTCCCTCCCCACTCTCTCAAATCATCCTCTTGCTAGTTGGTGTTTGTAAGCCATTAGAGGAGTGACAATTGTGACTCTAAAGCTCCAAGAACAAGAAGATCAAACAAGTGATTCAAGGTAAACTTATAACTCTGATTTCTCTTTGTTATTATGCTAGAATAACCATTATAAGTCTTGGATTCATGCATGTTCAGTTAGAGAAACCTAGATCCAAGCATTAGGGTTTGTATGTGCACATAGGTGTTCATATGGCCAAAACCCATCAATTATGTGGTAGTAGTAGGGGTGAAATAGTCCCTGATAGTTGGATGAAATAGACCGACAGGTACGTCAAGCACCCCAGAATGGCTTGACCTGGGTACGTCAAACACCCCAGAATGGTTTGACCTAGGAAGTCAGGCGCCCCAGAATTGTATGACAATATATTTTATGGTATGTGGTATTGTGGGGGAACTCACTAAGCTTCGTGCTTACAGTTTTCAGTTTTGTTTCAGATACCTCTTCAGCGAAGGGGAAGGAGTTGACGTGGTAGCTACACATCATACATACACCCCAGATTCCGCACTATGAGTTTCCGTGGGATTATACTCTGACATTATCACTATTTTATGATTTGGATTTTCAGATATTATACATAGTTTTATGAGATGTTATGATTTGTCAATGTTTTTCCTACGAATGTTTGAATTAAAGTAATTTCTAAAAATATAATTTTTTGACGTGAAAATTGGGTTGTTACACTCTTATTGATAATTGTTTTCTCACAAGGCCAACTTTATGTGGCATTATCTTGAGATATATCACGTGTCAAAACAAAAGTATTAGTAAACCCTTACGAACAATTCAACGTCAGTCAAGTCTATACATCAAATGTGTTGTATAAAGAAGTGTTGTATTATTAAAAATGCACAATCAATAAGGTGTTCATGTACATTTGTAAATAATCCAAACTTTTCATTCTCAATTATTATTGATTTCATGCCTGCTGTCATGACTCTTATTGATAATTGTTTAGATGTGATAACTATTTTACAAAAGAATTAATAACCTCT